GCCTGCCCACAGGACCACTCACCACCTCCAGGGTCTGCCACAGATTTCCCAGGCAGCCCAGCAGCGCTATGGCGGCCATACCCTCTGCCTGCATCCTGCAGCATCAACTGCAGGATGGGGCATGAGGGCAGAGCCTTGTCTACACTGTCTGGCTGCCATGTCCTTGGCTGTGCTGCTCCATGTGGGCCATGCTCGAGGGCGACTCTCCTTCAGGGGGGCTGCTGAAGAGGAGGGGGTCGCGGGGGGAGGCAAGGCTGGGGCAATGGCACGTGTGCCCACAGAGAGGGTTCCGAGTGCCACCTCTGGTACCCGTGCCATAGGTTCGCCACTACTGCACTAGAATATAAAATGAGAGCAAACCCCACTTGCTTCTTGCACTAATGGTATTACCTAGTGTGGTAATGAAATGTGTGCAAGAAAACAACCAAGCTCGGAGAGCACCAGGGACCCCACATTTCAATCCTGAGTTATAAATATTCTAGTCTAAGGGGCATTGTATTTGTAAAACAAATAAACCAGGGCTTGCCCCACTGAGAATCTCCACCTGTGTTGGAGCTGAGACCTTCAGGTGCCAGCCTTACTAGATGAGCCAGACAAGAAACTTTACCAGATAAGCTAGGTCTACTTCTTTGTAAAGCTACATTAACAAAATATCGCAAGTCTGAAAATACAAATCCGCCACTGTCTCCTTTACAGCCTGAGAAACCAGGGAGGTGCCTTTCCCCCCACCTACTATGCAGTTGCAGGCTATATTGTCTCTTATCTGATCATTCCCTATGCAGCTACAATTCGCCCAGTCGCCCAGGTCTTTGCCACATGCCATTACATAAGGCTTTTTGGCCAGGCAGGGATCCCCAGCTTGAGTGGAGGGGATTGTGAGAACAGGTTCTGAGTAATCTGACAAAAGGGCAACCCAGGGATCCGTGCATTTGAAAAACAGTTGCCAAGAGGAACATGACGTGTTACAAAGCACTGCTTGACATGACCAGTATAATTCCTGAGGAGCTTTCTGTTCTGAAGGGGGCACAATGGTCCAGCAGTTTTGAGACTGAACTTGTCAACTGGAAAGCCAAAAGGCCACGTTTGAGACCCAAGTGCTGCACAATGGGGTGAGCTCCCATTATTTTCCTCAACTCTTGCCCACCTAGCAGTTTGAAGGTTTGCAAATGTGAATAGATAAATAGGTACTGCTTCAGTGTGAAGTAATAGTGCTCCGTGTTTTGCTGCATGCTCTGCACTGCCACATGATGTCATAATAATAATAATAATAGTAAAGTTGGAAGGGACCTTGGAGGTCATCTAGTCCAACCCCCTGCTCAGGCAGGAAACCCTATACCATTTTGGACAAATGGCTGTCCAGTCTTTTCTTAAAAACTTCCAGTGTTGGAGCATTTACTGCTTCTGGAGGCAGGTTGTTCCACTGATTAAATGTTCTCACTGTCAGGAAGTTTCTCCTTAGTTCTAGGTTGCTTCTCTCCTTGATTAGTTTCCACCCATTGCTTCTTGTCCTGCCTTTAGGCGCTTTAGAGAATAGCTTGACACCCTCTTCTTTGTGGCAGCCCCTGAGATATTGGAACACTGCTATCATGTCCCCCCTTGTCCTTCTCTTCGTTAAACTAGACATACCCAATTCCAGCAACTGTTCCTTATATGTTTTAGCCTCCAGTCCCCTAATCATCTTTGTTGCTCTTCTTTGTACTCTTTCTAGAGTCTCAACATCTTTTTTACATCATGGTGACCAAAACTGGATGCAGTATTCCAAGTGTGGCCTTACATGGTGCCCACATGATCACAGAAATGTCTTCAAAGGCCTTGAAAGAGAGATGAGGACTGCCCCCTAAAATCAGCTACAATAAAATAAAATCCACACAGACTCCTTTACCCCTTTACCTTAGCTTCTGTCCTGAAGATCTTCCCTACTATCCCCACCAGGTATTTGTGAGGCAGGGTCAAAAAGCCAAGATGGCTGCTGCAACCATATGACCCCACCCCTTTCATGTCCCGATGGGCATGAAAGAGGTTGGGCTGGTGAGGAGGAGAGCAAAAGAAAGTTCTGGAAGGGGAAAGCTGAACATTGCAGGATGACATGGACAGAACTAGGCATCTGAGGGACTCCCTCAAAAATATCTGGCTCGGGGGATCCTTCAACCCTCTGCCACTGAGCTGCCTCATTCTTCTGGCTTTTGGACTTCAACCACAAGAGTCACCTGCTGTTTTGACGGCAGGGAACCAGGAAATGCCCAGCCGTCAGGAGGTGTCAGATGTGACTCATATCTCTGAATCTGGATCTGTTCCTGAGCTACCCGCTTGCCTGGCACTCATAAATGTACGGGGGGGGGGAGGATTCAGGGAGAAACTGGAGCCATTTCACAAACAAGCTGGCTTGATAGAAAATAGGTGTGGTAAAATTTTCATCCTTTATTTCACTCCAAAAAGTAAGCACGTCTGTTGCAAAGCCAATACTATGGCCAGTTCAGTTATGAAGGACCTGATGGAGATGTCAAGCTCTTGAGATCTCTTCACAGGCCGAGCCTCATGTTTAAATGGAGGTTGGCCTTGTCTTGAGAGAACAGTGGCAACATTTGCCAAAACTTTGCAACAATGTCCTCGACTTACAGCGCTTTATTCAGTGACTGAAGTTACAACGGCATTGAAAAAAGTGACTTATGACCGTTTTTCACACTTGTGACCATTGCCAGCGTCCCCGTGGTCACGTGATCAAAATTCAGAAACGTGGTCACTGGCCAGGAGTCACGTGATCACGTTTTGCAAGCTTCTGACAAGCGAAGGCAATGTGGGGAAGCCAGATTCAGTTAACAACCATGTTACTAACTCAGTGTTTCTCAACCTTGACCATTTTAAGGCATGTGGACTTCAACTCCCAGAATTCCACAGCCAGCAATGCTGGCTGTGGAATTCTGGGAGTTGAAGTCCGCATGCCTTAAAATGGTCAAGGTTGAGAAACACTGTACTAACTTAACAACTGCAGTGATTTACTTAACACCTGTGACAAGAAAAGTCATAAAGGAGCAAAATTCAACTGTTTCAGATAGCAGTAGAAATTTGGGGTGCAGTTGACATTTTAAGGCGAGGACTGCCTATAGATCTGTTGGACAAGGGGGGCTGAGGGGTGTGTAGACTTCCTCTTCAGTCCTTCCAGAAGATGCAAAGCAATGAGACCGTATCCATCAGGTGGCTCTGGTTTGGCCCACCCAGCCTGATTAAAGCAGGCCGTTGCCCACGAAGCTGCTGATTGCGACTTCAAAGCAAGTTTGCCGAAGTTTCTTTCCTCCCCTCACCTTTGCTGAACTGCCTGCCTTCACTGCTGCTTCCACTTCCTCCTGCACCACCAGGCAAAACAGGACACACAACTGAGGCCGCAAAGAATTGAAGGCGGACCCCCAGTCCCTCTCCAAAAGTTGCCTCAGAGGAAAATGATTGCATCCAGAAGAAGTAAACATGATAGTCTGACCCCTTCATTTAACTTCAATAATTAGATCAAATCTAGGTATTTCCTATCTTCATCCACTATTTGTTCCAACACTGTCAGGGTGGTGGTGGTGTTGCCCCTCCAAAGATAGTGTTTCTATTGTGGCCTACTCTTGGATTCAAGGTTCCTGGAGTGATAAAAGCCCTATGCTTCCACCATTTGCACCCCCTTCCCTCCCCAGCCACTGGCAGTCTGGGGCTGCTGTTATCTGTATCTGCAGAGGGTGTGTGTCATCCCTCAAACTGAGTTTAATTCACTTGGCTACGTGAACGCAGCCATATAGTCTTCCCAGCAACAATCCTGAGAGTGGTCTTCACAAATGGCAAGATTGGGGGGGGGGGGTGCAGAGCATTGTGACGCAAGTCTTATGTAACCCTTCTGAACAGATGCACACACAAAATAGCATCGTGACTCTTGCTGCCATCTTGTTGGTTTTGAGCCTCCTTCAAAAATAAAAAAAAGATTTATTTATTTATTACATGTTTAACCCACCTTTATTACTTTATAAATAACTCAGGGTGGTTAACCTACCTGATATTCCTTTCTCCTATTTTTTTTTCATAACAACAACCCTGTGAGGTAGGTTGGGCTGAGGGAGAGTGACTGGCTGCTTTCATACCTAACATGGAATTAGAACTCTCCTGGTTTATAGACCATCACCTTAACCACTACACCAAACTGGCTCTCCAGATGCTATTGAATATTGAAATGGTTGATAACAGCCTTCATTGAGATCTTTTTTCCCTACTTACTGATCTAACCTTTCCTCTTTGGATCTCCCAGTGGTTTCTCATCCAAACACTAACCCGGTCTAAACCTGCTTAGCTTTTTTTCCAAGCTCAACTGAGGTCAGCCAGGTGCTGTTACCGGCTGTGAAGGTTTGCCTAGTGGAAATTAAGGAGATGTATTGTCTTCTGCAAACAATAACAACAAAATAGTCTTGCCATGTTTATTATCTCCCTTCCCTGAAGTGTTCTGTTCTGGGGATGAGATCATGAGATTCTAGCCTCAATTAACATTTACCTGGCTGGATAAAGTAAACCTCACCCCAAGGGGAATCTGCAATTTGTGGTTTCATGTTCTTAAGTTATTTGAACTGCTATAGTAGTGTTTGAAGAACAGTTAAGCTCTTTGGGAACCGAACTGAACCTGCACGTTCCAGATCTGTTAGAACATCAGTGGCAGTTCAACTTCTCCAGATTCACTGGTTTGAAGAAGACTGTCCATAAAACAAATATGTGTTGTCTTGCATTGAACACCCCTCCCTCACTTGTGATGGGAAACTGGCAGCTGGCCTTTATGTAACAGGAGGCCTAAACAAGGCAAGATGGTGGCCATGTTCATGTGAACAAAGCTACCATCTTGACTCTTTTTGACAACCCAATCCCTCCAGACGAGCTAGCAAGCAGAACTTTAAAAAAAAAAAAAACCTTTATAATAGGATATAATAACAATCACAGGAAGGCAGGAGGCATGTTCAAATTCCATGAAAATTATATACTGGAGAATATTTTTTGGAACAACAAATCAAGTTTATTAGCTTAACAGTCGCCACACAAAAGGAATAATTTTTAAGACATTAGACAAAAACAATGATTCTTACAGAAAGCTATGTATGACATTTGCAAGAAAGCTGGCACAGAAATATAACCTTTTGGTTATGGATGTGCTCCTTAAATACTTCTAATTTGTTCTGTTGCTGTAAACAGACCTTCCCCTAGGTCAGGGGTCTTCAAACTTGGCCCTTTTCTGACTTGTGGACTTCAACTCCCAGAATTCCTCAGCCAGCTTGAGGAATTCTGGGAGTTGAAGTCCACAAGTCAGAAAAGGGCCAAGTTTGAAGACCCCTGCCCTTTGTGATGATCTCCAGTTATTAACTTCTATGCCCAGGTTTCACGGGTAGCATGACCAGCAAACAAAATTCTGGCAATAAAGTTCAACTTATTTGATAAGACAGGTTGGGTGCTGTAAACTATGCTCCTGACCCAATACCTAGGCTTAGCAAAAGAATGTATTGTGCAATACTCTCATATAAAAACATGCAAAGAAAAAAATGTTACCATCTCTGGGTCAAATTTGTCAAAATAACAGCTGCATGTAAAAATGGCTTTGCTCCAGCTCTGACAGCTGCCATTTTGACTTTTTGGACTCCCCCTGGTTGTTCTCAATAAGAAAATACAGCACAAGGACTGTTTATTGAAGAACCATGGCCTTCAAGTAAGACTTCATAATTCTGCAATCAACGTAATGCTAAGAAGCCAGTTTTTAAAAATGAGCAATCAAAGAGATTTACAAAAAGGAACACCAACTTTGAGAGGATATCTAACCATTCTAGTTATTTACATTTTTATTCAACTAATATTGGGTAATGATTAGGGAAAATAGCCTGATTTTGATATATGTTTGTGTAACCATGGCCAGACTAGTACCATAAGTTACTTACGAATTCAACTGAAATATCATTAGAGGTTATGGTAAGAATGTTGCAGAATAAAAACTGAAATTGTTCAGTCCCAACTCAGACATTTGTTTGGAACTAAGCAAATCTGCTGAAAATCTTTGGGGCTGATTTCTGAATTAGTACTTGATCCTTGTAGATACTCTTTGTTGTGTACAATTCAACTTTTTAAACAGTAATTAGTGTATGAAAACACATGCATGTCAAAATGTAATCTCATGTGAATTTCTAGGCTATGACTCTATAACTCTTGCACATTTTTAAAGCGTCTGATGCTGTTCATCCAGCTGACCTATATTGAATAATTTGTTTCCTTAGTGAAAAACCAGCATTGTTTCATCCCCCAAATTGCCATCTTAATGTAACTTTTAATCTGCATTTTCTTTTCTAAAGCTTATATTATTTATAAAGTTCTAACACTGTTAGGAGTCTATCACCTTTAATGTATAAACAGAACTATATTTTCTTAACTCATAACTAAACTTGTACCGATTCATTCTGTAAAGCTAAGAATCTGTTACTTTCATTGAAGAACATTTGAAAACCTGTTAAAATCTACTCTGATGCAGAATGTTTTGAACATTCATACTGAATATTTAGTCATGGTTAATAACCTGAAAACAAGCTCCCACAAAAATAAATATACCAAAAACGTCTTACCCATAGGGCATATATTGTAAAGTTGGTATTCTAGCTGTACCAGCTTCACTCATAATTTAAGGGCATTGCAATATAATTAATTATAAAACCAATGAACATCTAGTAGAGTACATTCATTTCAACAAAACAAATCCATATGTAACATATTTTCCTGGTTTTCTCCAGGTAGGTTTCCAAACTCCAAAATAAGAACAAAAGAGCAGAGGAACTGATTTGCATTTTTCAAGAAAACCAGAGGCCACACACAAAAATCATTTTTCCTATGCATGAAACGGTGCTTAATATCCAACACTGAATAGGATTTCAGCTCGGACGGCTGTTTTAGATTCCTTCATTTCCCAGGACCAATTCACCATTGTCAGTCACCAGTAACATCCAGTCTTCTCCTCTCTCATTAGCTCCATTTGCATTCACCCACAAACTTCCTGAAATGGTGGCTGAGAATATTACACAGGAGCTTTTGTGGTTGTTGATGGAAACAAGCAACAAAATCCTTTAAACATTTCATCTCTTCCACCTCATGATGGTTCTTTTTTATAAATCCGAGTACAAAAAGTTTGCATCTTCACAGACATCCTTTCCTTCCTTTCCTGTTGTTTTTCAATTTCCTTTTCTCTTCTTTGAGACTCTTTCAAGTTCCTGGGCAGAAAAGCTTGGCAATCAGGTTCAGGATTCTCTGTCGGAGGTTCCACTTGTCCCCCATTCTGCGCAGCTGCACAGCTATCACCACGGAACGCTCTGCAAAATACATAAGCACATTATTGCCAATTGCATTGATTATCATGAAATGATCGTGTTTCTTTCAGCCTCCCTAATGCACTCATCCCGACTCTGTTATGGTCTGTTATGCGCATTGACGGAATTCCTGTGGCGTTCCCCATTCAGTTAAACGGAGGGTGATAAATGCTTGGTGAGAAGACTCCCTAAGTTAAATTAAGAAAGACAGTCTCCAGGCAGGTGAGCTTAGGATTCAGGCTATAAGGTCCTTCGACTTGAACATGTGTATGAAATGAATCACTGCTATGCCTAGCGGGTATGTACCTGCTGAAAGTGCCTTGTAAGAAATTTACCCAGAAGACAATTGTCCAAATGATACCCACCCATCTCCTTATGCTGGATTAGAGCTCTCTTTAACAACAAGGAAAAGAAGTGGAGGATCGACAGCAAACAGCACTGGAACATTCAGAGCAGTAAATTACGCTAACACCAATTAGGGGCAGAACTGGGTTCTCCCGGCAGAAGATCCCATGGTTTATCCTAGCACCTCCTGTTCAAGAGATCAGACAGGAAGAAGGTTGGAAAGAGGTCTCCACAGAAGTCCTGGAGGGCTTCTGGCACTGCAGACATCACGGAACAATCTCTCCAAGGCAACTTCCTAGGTCCTTAAAATGCTGCAACTTTTCACAGAGGTAGGACTTCCCTTTACCTTCAAGTGGAAGCTGCAGTTTTTTCTCTCCCCCCTCCCCCGCCACAAATAATAAAGCCTTTGCAAGCAGATTTAGATCCCCCTCCCCTTCCTTTCAGACTGTTGGATCTTAGCAACTGGCCAATGGAAATACAAGCCAATGGGGGGGGAGGAGGAGGGGAAAACAACCTCCAAGCAAAAAAATCACCCAGAACATCAAGTGCCCTGTGTAGCCTTCTATAACAAAGAGCTCTAAGGGTATGGATGGGGCTGGCCAGGTCTGCTGTAATAGGAGTTGGCATCTAAGACGGTCTTCTCAGCGCACACATAAGACTAGGTCTAAGGTCTTTCTACTATACCAGTTTTCTCAACCTTGACCATTTTAAGGCATGTGGACTTCAACTCCCAGAATTCCACAGCCAGCATTGCTGGCTGTGGAATTCTGGGAGTGGAAGTCCACATGCCTTAAAATGGTCAAGGTTGAGAAACACTGTACTATACTGAACTTGGTGCCTTTCTGAATAATACGGTCCACTTTCAGCTCCAAAAGCCCCCTTCCAGAGAGGCTCGGGGTCCTCGTTCCCAGAGAGCCCAGGAGCTCCAACAGCTGGATCTTCAGCCAGCAGGTGATCCATAGCATCCAGCCCAGGTATCACCTGCTTAACCTGGGCTTGGTGATCTTGGGAGAGAAAGAGGAAAAGGAAAGAGACCGACTGCAGTTGAGAGGACAGATCAGAAGATCGGGCTTTGATCGCAGATTCCGACATGTCCTGGCACCTCATCTCATGCCGAGGGGCGAATTCAAGAACCAAGGGCAGATTCTTTCGAGGAGAAGACACTGGCTGCGCTCCGGGTGAGAGGAACCGGCTCGGCGCTCCCGTTTCATCCGCCACCATCCATCCCCGATCGCCGCGCCTCGCTAAGAAGTGCTGCCTCTCGGCCGCTTAACCCGCCCGCGCAGCCTGAGAACAGCCTGATGGGGGCACCGGGACCCGAAGACAAGAGGCGCCTCTCCGGTCCAGGCCCGCCCGCCCGCTCGCCCGCCCGCCTGGAAGCCAACAGAGACGGGGCGCGCCCGGCGAATTACTACCTGAGGGCGCCGAGTTCTGCAGCGCGGGCTTGCGCGGCATTTTGGTCGGCATCATTTCGGGAGGGAGGCTGAGTTCAGGGCTTAGCTTCTTCGACTCGTGCGCTTCGAAAGGCCGGGACTGGCAGGGACGCGCGCCGGTCCGCTCCGCTCGCCGCCTGCTTCTCAAAAGCCGCCTCTAGCGCGGCCGCCCCGAGCTAAAGCGAGGGCCGGGGGGTTTCCCCATGACGTCACCGCGGAGTCCTCGCCTCCTTGCCTGGCGAGACTTTCGCCCGCCAGCCAATCAGCGCAGAGTACCCGGGCAAGCGGGGACAAGTTGCTGGCCGGACGAAGCAGAAGCGGGAGGGGGAGGGTTGGGCGGGTGGCAGCGCGTCCCAGAGCGGGCTGGGCGGTGGAGGTGGTCGGTTCCCGTTCCCCACCCCGCCCCCTGAGGCTGACCTCGGTTGCTCGACGGCGGAGACTCAAGAAGGAAGGCAAAAAAAGGCCCAGGAGCGGGAAGAAAACAAACCCCACCACGCCCCTGTACGTGGAAGCCAATGCCAGGGAGGCGCCGGGGGCAGCCCACAGCGGGCCCAAAATGGGAGGAACCACGGAAAGGTTGTGTTCACACAACCATCAGGAGCCCAGGAAGCCTCTTAGCGATTGCATTCGAACTACTTGCCAAGCGAGCTTCGTGTGGTTGCCCTTCCGCCTCCTTCTGTCTCCCCTCGGATGAGTTGAAGGCTCGTTGTGTTTATTCCGCGCATCCGGAAAACAGGCTATTTCATTTCCCACCAGGTTAAGCAGGTTGTCTGAGTACAGTACAGCTTGCTCTTCCTTTCCATGGGAAAGGAAAGAGGGAAGAGAGGGGTGAGAAGAGAAACTAAGATATGTTCCCAGAAGTTTGGGCTGAGAGTCCCCCAAAAAATATTTTGCACAGAGGCCCTCAACTCTGGCCACTCCTCCAGTTTCTGTTTGCAGGGTTCTTTGTTCAATTGGTTGGCTTTAAAATATATAAAGCTACTTCTCAACTTATAACCATTCAAAATCACAACAGTACTGGAAAATATGACTTGCATATAGGACTGTAGCAGCATCCCCACAGCCACATGATCACAGTTGGCAAGCAGCATATATTTATGACAGTTGTAGCATCCCAAGGACATGTGCTTGCCATTTGCAATCTTGCCAGCCAACTTCCCGCAAGCAAAGTCAATGGGGAAAGCCAGATTCACATAACAACCATGGGATTCACTTAAAAACTGCAGTAATTTGCTTCACCCCGGCAAAATCGGTTGTAAAATCAGATGCGACTGACTTAGCAACTGCCTTGCTTAGCAACTGAAATTCTCATTCCAGTTGTGGTTGTAAGTATTGCATTGCAAGTTTTGTTGCAGGAAAATACTTTTTACCCTCATGAAGGCTCAACCTTGTACCTATAAGATCACCCTACCATATAATTTGTTAAGGTTTTTCCCAGCCAGTCGGCATAAAACAGTTATTCTCCAAATTGAGCCTTCCCTTCTGCTTTCTGAAGCCTTGGATGTTGACAGTGGTGAGGTTTGAACCCACCCTGACATCCCTCAGTTCAAGACAACTTATGTCGTCTTTTTGAGCAACTGTTGTGTGTGGTAGGCAAGATTAAGACGTAATAACTCTTCCCACTGTGATATTTGGCCTGTAAATCTTGGTCTCTCCAGTTGCATTCCAACCCTTTAACTACTCTACTTCTGTAAAACTGAGCTTCCACCTCAGCGCCGTTCTTAATTACAGCAATGCAATGTTCCTTGTCTGATTGCAGACACCGTGGCCTATTTCTGCAAAGTTTTCTCATCTCTACTTCTGTAGAGCTGAACTCATACATCCAGTGGAAATGTTGCTGAATCTCTTGTTCTTTCCCTCAGGATGTACGTCCACACAGACTTCTACTGAGCTTCTGCACATTCTCACAGTCATTTCAGACTATTAGACATATTAGAAAGTTGACAATGCAATCCTGTTGCCTTTTACAGGTATTTGCAGTGCCCAGAGGAGTTGCAAAGCCTGGACTCTGAATAAAAAGAGAAGTTGCCATCTCAGGAGTGAGATTTCATTTCGCAATCCCTCTAAAATCTTGTTTCGTCCTCTTCCCTCTTGTTTCATCCTCATTTCTCAATCGCAGCGACTTTAAGACATGTAGACTTCAACTCCCCAACATCCTCAGCCAGCTAGAATAGATAGATAGATAGAATTCTGTGAGATGACAATCCAGGCATCTTAAAACTGCTAAAGCTGAGAAACCAGTGCTCTTCGGTGTCAGACCTCTGGTGTTGAGAAAGGCCTGAAAAAGAACAAACAATGGAAAGGCAATTGTGGTTTCTTTTTAAGTCAGAGAAAAAGAAAACGCCTTTTTTTGGTTCCTTCTTTCCTCTTCGTGTGAGCCCAAGGAGCGTTTGGGATGGAGTGATTCTTCCACTTTTTCTCCTTGTCCTGAGAGCATTGCTCTGCTTAATTATTCATAAGCTGAATTGTCAGTTAGCATGAATCATACACAGAACACAGAAGAACAAGAGTTGGAAGGGACATTGGAGTCCATTCCGGACAAATGGTTGTCCAATCTCTTCTTTAAAAAACCCCCAGGGATGGAGCACCAACAACTTCCAGAAGCAAGCTGTTCCAAATATCCATTTGAATATTTGGGGCTCTTCAGAACCATCTTGGAAGAACGCTGTTCCCGGATGGGTTTGTGCAGAGGCCCTTTCTGAATTTTTTTTTTTTCTGGCCACTTTGCACACATTCTTCCCACAATGAGGTTCTCTTATTGCTCTCACCTTTGACAGCATGGGTCACTGAGGATGAAATACAAAGGAAGGAGTACACACCGCACAGATGCACACACACACACACACACACACACACACACACACACACACACACAAAAACCTTTCTCCCAAGGGTGATCAGCCCTCTGGATTTGGAACAAAACACAAAAAGGCTATAGAGGCTGAACTTATAGTTCAGCTTTCCTTGAGCAGCTTATGAATGCATGAGGCAATCTATTGACATATGCAGAGATGGCCTTATAAGGGAAAGGCAGAAAGAAAGGGGTCCAATCCCTGTGCTGAGGGCCAGGGGACTTCCCAGCTCCCTTGGGCAGGAGCTGGCCAAAAGGTGACATTTCAATAAATGTGAGGCTGAAAAAATATTACAAAAGTTCCTTCCAACCTGGCTGGAAGGCTTCCTGTTCGTTTATTTGTTAATTTAATTCAACCCACCTGATTCCAAACTGACTCTGGACAGCTCACAATACAATAAACTATAAAAACACAATACAAAATTAAAAAAAAAGGTGAGATCTGCTTACTCTGCAAAAACAGAGATGAAACACCTCTGACAAGGGGCCTCATCCCTCTCAACCCAAGATCTGGGAGGGCAATACTGAAAGTGGTGTGTATCAATTTGTTTTATTTTTTATCTGAAGTATTTTTAAGATTGTAATGTCTTGTAAAATTGAAAATAAAAACTTTTATGGAAAAAAAAGAGAAACAGGGTGGGAGCTGGATAAATTTCTAGAGAGCAAGTGCTGTGACAAAAGAAGGCTACTTTCTGGGTCCTGAGACATGGTACTGTTTGATTGAAGGGACCTGGAACTTGCCAACCTTACCGGCTGGGCAGAAGGTATGGAACACAGCTGGTTCCTCAAAAAGCTTGGCTCTATGTCATGTAGAACTTTATAGAGGATGACTAGCACTTTGAGTGACCCCTGGAGTAATACTGGCAACCAGTGCAGCTCAGGAAGCAGAGATGTCACATTGCAGCTAGTGCCACTGGGCATGCACAGTAGGACTGCTAATCCTGGATCGAATTGCAACCTACTTTGGCTGGCATTGCTTTTCCTCTGCACCCGCAGAGACATGGTCTCGTGGTGTTCTGAGAAATGGGTTGGCATTTGGAAAAGCAAGGGGGGGCTGTGACTAAGAGTTCTTCTAAATTGCTTCAGCAACTCTTAGCCTGTCCTGCAGAAAGATCTTCTAACAAGCCTCACGCTTGGTGTAAGTCAGCCTTTCTTGCCATATGTGTTGGATTATGTTTCCCATACTTCCTGCTGTCCTCAGGTTTCATGGATTGTTTTAAAAATCTGGGTACAATTTTTTTTAAAGTGTATGTATTTATTTATAAGATTTCTATGGCTACTTTGTATTGTGTAAAATAATACAGCCCTGGCCAAGAGGAGCATTACATGTTCCATTATGATCATAAGTTCAGGACTTATGTTATCAAGTACCCTGACAGTCCCATTGATGATGCTGATGATGTTAACCAGTCAATCATGTTTGACTCTTGGTGATTCTATGGGCCGGGTCTTTCCACAGTCCCAATACTAAACTATAAATGCTGGATTTGCCTTTCCTCCTATCCCAGCACCTGGAGGAAGCCAAGTCTTCAAAGCCTTTTAGAAGGCAGGAAGGATAGAAATCCCCCTCAGCTCAGAGGGGAATCTGTTCCACAATACGAACATGTCTATAGAAAAGGTTTGCTTTCCATGCTCCATCACATGACCACATTTAAGAGCCAAAGAAGCATGACAGTGATATAATATTGTTGTACAAGGATACCAATGGATTTTATCTGATTTTTTTTTGGGGGGGGGTTATGTTAATAACTTATTTTAATGTTTTCCCAAAATGAACAAAATTTCATACCATTATATTTTATTGCTGAATTTTGGGGAGCCACAGTTATGGAGCTAGGGCTGGGTATGGCCCATATCTTTTTGGTATATCAATTCTATTTACTTTGTCCAAACTGTCTAGCAGGGAGCTGAACTAGAAGACCTCCAAGATCCCTTCCAGCTTCTATTCTATTCTATTCTATTCTATTCTATTCTATTCTATTCTATTCTATTCTATTCTATTCTATTCTATTCTATTCTATTCTATCCTATCCTATCCTATCCTATCCTATCCTATTCAATGTATAGGTATATGAATCAAGGAATTTTTCTATTTGAACTTGCTTCCCTACTCTTTCTGGATCTTCTTTGTTGTGATCTGAATTTTTTTTCCCCTTGTCGTACAGTAAGTATGCACTGAGGAGCCAATCCAGTGATTAATTTTAATTATTTGCCCTTGCTATGTTCCTAATCTGGATTAAGTGCACTAACAGGAATTGACAACGAAGATACAGATAGTCCTCAATTGATTGCCATAAGTGAATCTGGCAATTATGGTCATAAGTCATGACAATTGTAAAGCAGGTCATAGTAGATATACAACACATGGCCCACTAATAGCTAGAGCGCTTACAAGGAGGCAAGTCCAGAATATTTGAATTTTTTGGACATGGGAATCT